TTAGTAAGGGGTGGATTGGCTTTGCTTTGAACAGATGATTTTCAATTGCAACAATCCACTATTTCACAGTCCCTTATAGTTGTTGAAATTGTTGATTCGAGTGGTCTTCATTGGATGTTAACTGGGTTTTCTAGTTGAAAATAGAAGGAAAGGGATGCTGTTGGTGAAGCTTGTTGTGTTCTGTAAGGGAAGAATGATATTCAAGTCAATAAAGGGGCTCTCATTCCCTTAATGAATTTTGACGGCAAGGGATTGAAAAAGATGGGACCATGGTTGAGACCACATGGAGACGAGTGGGGTGCCTTCCGCTTGTATGGAAGAGGACCATGGCCCTCTTGTTGATTATTCTTTAAGAATAGATAGGGTGACAACTTGCGAATTAAGGACTGTTTGTTGCCAGAACCCCTTGCTCTCCTCATAAAACTGGTTAAATAAGTGAGGATGTCCAATAACTTCTGACACTCATAGTGACTTTTCTTTCTACATTAGTAGTCTTATTTAGCTCATAAAACGATTGTAATTATAATTTTTAGTTGTATATGGCTCTCTTTACTTAATTATTTATATTCATCATGTGTATAATTTAAATATGTTATTAATACGGAAGGTTATGCTTCTGATTTTTGTCTTTGGGATGTGCTGTTTCAGGCTATATTGTCATGAGATGAAGAATTCTACTATAATTTTTTATTATTTAATATATTTCTCTATTTCATATATATATATATATATATATATATAAATCTAACAACCTATAGGCTTAAGACTAATAATAAAATTATTTTTATACTTAATCATAAATTTAAAGATTAGTCCCTAAACTCTACCTAACAAAAAACAAATCCAAAATTTAAATCCAAGCAGGAGCCCTGTGGTATACAGAAGACAATGTCATTATTAATTACAGGTGATTAACCGGTAAAAAGCTGTATTTCGGTTAATTAAATCAAAGCAAATCAAGATTCCGCTCTCATTTCGTTTCTCCTTCCCTCCCTTCTTCCCTCTCTTGAAATTAGGGTTGAAAAGACCAGATCTTTCTCCAGCTCCATGGAAGCTCAATGCATGTGATGCTTCAAATC